AGTTTTAATTTTAATGTCAAGTTGAACAATAGTAATACACCTTAAAAGTATCTTATGGTGTCTTTGTTCATATGTTATTTAATGTAAATAGGTTGCTGCTTTGGCAAACAGTCAATGAGGTTCTGTGTGCATTACAGCTGCCAATTTGATATTGTAACACAATGTACACATTATGGCAGAATTATGGTATGTGTGTGTGCATTACATCGGCTATTTGAGACTATTCAGAAATCTAACCATCAATTTCATATTTTGGAGGTGAAGAGAGTGTGTTTGCAATTATAAAGATGGGAAGGGGAAGAAAGGAAATAGGCTTAATACATGGCTCAATACATGGGAGTTAGAGGCCTAAATTTTCCAGATGAGGATCAAAACACCAAATATAAGAAACATTGTAATCCGTTGAAAACTGCACGTACCATAGGTTACCACAACAAAATCCATCAAWAAGAAACATTAACCTYTACATACAATTATTTGCAAACRGTCAYAATGAATTTAGGTATCACAGRTTATGACAATGAAACCCAACAAAAACCCTCTAAAGAAGAAACACTAAACTACTCTACATACAATTATTTGAAGAAGGTTGTTTGTTTCTGATCTATGATGGATAGGCAAGAATGCAATTGAATTTGTGTTTGTGTTCGGTCATTTAGAAATCAGTCTCAAGAAATGTGGAGCATAGAATAGCAGTGACATCTCAAATAATAACACGTAAAGAAGCTGGTCTTGCACTCTGGTTGTTGATTTTGTCATTGCTTCGCACAGGCATGAATTGACAAAGAAAAGGTGTCAAAATAAACTGTGGGTGTGTAGATATCAGCTCCCATCAATAAACTACCTTGGAGAAAGAAAATTCCTGGAATGGAGTTCAAATGAAAGCTTCTATACCCTCTCTGGTAATCACATATGGTGAAAAAGCAAGCACTTCCTCACTTCTTGATCTTTTCTTTTTGGACATGCAAGCTAAACTACTGGGTAAATGAATCTTTGATACTATAACAAAACTTTAGCAAAATGTATTTGAGCAGGCTGACCTTAACATGTCTAAGGGGTTGTTTACCAAACGCTTACTCGGGTAAGTGAACACCAGGTCACGCTACCTTACCGCATAAATATGGTAAGGACCAATAATCTTACCCAGTAAGAGCGAGACAAGGACCAAGAATCTTACCCGGTAAGTGAGGGCGACGACTCTTACCACGGTAAACGCATGAATATGTTAAAGACCAATAATCTTACCCGGTAGGTGAGGGCAACAACTCTTATCACGGTAAGCACTTACTGAGTAAATTGTTGCATACAAAACTGTTTTGGTGGACTAAAATCTTACTCAGTAAGTAAATGATAGTGTTCAATTTTACCGGTAAGCGCTTACCGAGTAAGTGTTTGTAAATGTCCCCTAAATTCCACATGAATACCCCATGTACATGACTATCCCATAAGCTTTTGATGTAGAAGTTAAAATATATAGGTAAGATTTCACCAAATACACAACTACGATTAGCATGGGTCTTATGATTACGATTCCCCCCTGCCCCACCCTAAAAAATGTTAGCCATCAGAAGAACATTTGCTTTTCCAATCCCATAAAGCAAGTCAACACAAAGCAACCATCCTTTAGGGTGTGTTTGGTACGTGGAACAGGGTGGGACAGGACAGGACAGGACAGGACACACTTGTCCACGTTTGGTGTGTTTTTAACGCACAATTTTCTAAATTATTGTTTGAATTCAAAGTAAATAGACAAAAGATTATATATTAAATTTAATATATAAACGAACGTAAACGAACTGTAAATGAACGAACGTCCACGAACATAAATATACGAACATAAACGAACTTTCCACCGAACGGTTTGTTGAACGTTCGGTACTGTTTGTTGAACGTTCGGTTCGTTTATAGCCCTAATCACAGTGCTGCTACCACCTTCATAAATTACATTAAATGTGCTAAAGAAACAAGAAAACAGCAAATGTGCATTGTTCTTATAATGAACTTTTATGTTAGCATGAATCTTGCTCCAACTTACAGAAATAATTGCTACTAACTGGCCATTCAATTTTTTTGTTCCAGCATTTCTGGGTTTCTATTTCCATGATCTTCTTCATTGCTGCTACCTTGTTCACCCTCCTGAAGCTATGTGGTAATATTCTCCTCAAATGACTATATTTTACTGCCCATTATATATGTTTTGATCATAACATTTATTTGTGATTTTGGTTTATAATTGACATCAAGTTACTTATGCAACATTTCTTTTTCATATTTGGGAAAGGAAGGAAGTCATTAATGCTATGCATACTGTGTAATGTTTCTTAACATATATCAACATGCTTGGTACGATTTTTGATGTATTACTGCTTATTTATTGATTATTTGGGATTTTGATCTTACATGTTGCAAGCATATATTATTGGGGTTTACTTGGTATATATAGATGGTATATCGCTAATCACTTTCAATACATAAATCTTGATTTATTTGATTGTCATCCGACTTTCTCTTTTACATGCCAATTACTGGTGCTCTGCCTCCTTTTTGACATGTGCAAGTGTTATCTGATCTAATGACTTGTTGGTTCACAGCAATATCCGAAAATTATTACACTAAATATACAACCAAATTTTATAGCAAAAATACATATGTATTTGATATAACCATATTGCCTTTTTATTCATTTATATTATGTTCATTTGGAGGGGATTTCACCTCATCAAATATATATAACTAAATGTAATTTCTTTGCAGTGTTAAAATAAAGATAATAAATTATATAATTTTTAGCAATACAAACTCTTAAAAATCTCTTTACACATTTGACTCTAATACAACGGGTTACTATTGCACAACACCCTAACAGACCTACTTTTCTTGATCGTGTCTTCAATATTACTGATAAGGTCTGGTACTAAGGTAACAGGATAATCTATACTATATTAGACCATTTACAGATTGTACTCTATATGCAAAATAAGTAATTTATCTTGAATTTTCAGTTTAAAATGAATCTTTTTTCCTGGTGCTTTCTTTTAATTTATAACTGATAGTCACATTGATGATCTGTCATGTCTGTCAAGAGTGCATACAGCAGAAAGTTTAAAAGTAGTAGCTAATATTATTTCTTAATAGACTTCGATCAGAAGTAATAACAATGCTCGACTATGTATTTAACTTTTCTCAGTTAATAAATGAAATATCCAATGTCTAAGCAATTGCCTGGGCAACATGGGATCTCATAGCTATGGTGGAAAATGGCAAATATGACAGACCTGCAACCCAAGCCGTGATATTTGGGTGGAATGGACATGAGGTTATTAGTCACATTGCCCCTTTTCAGTGCATTTCTATACCAAAGTAGGAGGTGAAAAGTGATTCCAACACATAACAAATTAATTTATATTTTTGGTAAGACAATGGACACTTGGAGAATAAAGTTACACAATCATAAATAGAAGTAACTAAATGGATGAGGATAATTAACAGATGCAGGGGTAAATGTTTAATTTATTGATGTTGTAAGATGGTTTTAGTTTAGCTACATAGATGCATTATCGATTCAAAAACTAAAAATGATCTAAAATCATAGAAATGGATTCAAAACTAAGAATGATCTAAAATTGGGATGAGAGGGGAATACCAACAGAGATTGCACTTTAGATCTCAGCACACTTGAACAGAAGTTAATCAGAGTCAACACCAACCTCCTGGTAATCTTCTTCAATCAACCTATTTCGCTGGTTGTGACTTCCACTCTACCACAACAAAATCCATCAAAAACAAACATTAACCTCTACAAACAATTATTTGCAAATGGTCACAAATTGCAACATTGGGTTCAAATGCTACAATTCCCAAGTAGAACAAAAATCGGTAATTAGAAATTAGGTTGCAAAAATGAAAACAGATGCCATGGAGAAACCCAATAAATTGAACAATATGGTAAAGGAAACAAACATACTACAACCCCTAAGTAGAACACAAATGGGTAATTAGAAATTAGGTTGCCAAAATAAAACAGATGCCATAGAGAAACCCTAGAAATCGAACAATATGATAAAGGAAACAAACCTTGAAAAATTGGATGCTTGTATTCTGAAAAACAACCGCAAGAGACTTTGAAAACCTGCTTCAAATTTATACGAGTAGAGGCTATGAAGTATCTCCATCTAAATCGGTTGAGCAGTTGAAATCGGTAGGACGATATGCACGAAGCAGTTGAAATCGATAGAACGATATGCACGAAGAGGTTGTTTGAATTTAAGATAGAGAAGGATATGAACGAATCCGAGGGATATGGACGTGAAATTGAGGATATGGATCAAAGAGATGAGGGATATGAACGAATACATAGGAGGGATATGGACGTCGAATTGAGGAAGGGATGGATGGCTTTAATAGGTTGTATCTAAAGCAATGGAAGTTGTTTTTAAGAGTTTAAGAGTTTTAGCCAAATGCATTATAAGAAAGTATAGATTAGAAAGGTACTCGTGCAATGCAGCGAGATTCATCTTGATTTTAATGTTTCATTTTATTTTTTGTTTCTATCGATGTTACAATACGATTTTATGCGTTTTTAAGAAAGCAATAATGATTTTATTTATAAATAAAATATAAATTTAAAATATATATATATATATATATATATATATAT